GGGGGGGGGGGGGGGGGGAGAGAATGATAAAAAGGAAAGACATTACCCATGAAAAAGGCAAACAAAAAACAGTGTAGGGGGTAAGGATGTCACCCAAAGAGGAGAAGGAAAGGTAAAAGCAGATATAGAAAAGCCATTCGCTCCGGAGCCAGCCGCCCGGACACCAAAATGATGTTGACATAGCCTGAAGGTAAGTATCGGAAGTGCCCCCAGATAGAATATCTTCAGTATTCCGCATGGCAGAAGCAAGTTCCTCCATGTGATACATTTCATTATTTTTGAAAACCAGGAGGTCTGCCTCCATAACATTGAGATAGAAGTCTAAGCAGCAGAGAGTAAGTGGATTGAAAGAGAGGTTTACCTGACTGGATGCAGGCATTGTTCAGGTATTTTGAGAGCCAGCAGGGCCGACTAGCAAAATACTGAAGCTTGGCCCAGCGGGAGATTCCTCCATCCACACAGTTTAGGCCTTGTTCACACCAAATGCAGAGCAGACACGCTCAGGTCTCTGCACACGCAGTGCAGTGGGTTGTGCCGCGTTTTTGATGCGTTCCAGGCCGTTTTTGGTAAAATAAAAAATTTAGTTTCAAATGGGCTTTGTGCGTTCCAGGCATTTTTGATGCGTTTGCATGCGTTCCAGAGCAGGAGAAATAGGGCCTGCGGCAGTTTTTTTTTACCTGCTCTGGAACTGAACGCTGCGATGTGAACTGGAGCTAAAAATGCCATTGGAATACATTGGGACGCAGTTTTTCTCCGGTCTGTAACTGCTCTGCACCTGCTCCGCGCTTGCTGTGAACAAGGCATTAGTGTAGATGGAGGAATCTGTTGCACTTTTTCCATCTGACCATAGAAAATCTGCAGATAATCTATAGGTGTATTCCAGCTTAATGAACAGGCAGGCGCGGAGGCGCCCTAATGCTACACAAGCATTCATTTAAATGAAAACATTTATTCAAAAAGATTCTGCTAGTGTGACAGAAAAATATTTTTGGGGGTTTTTGGTAAGAGATTAGTCTTATGACTGACAGGAATACATGTGAAACAAGCCATTTAGGTCTACAGAGGAAAGGAGAACTGCCAATATGTTCTGCTACAAAAGTAAACTGGAAATTCGAGAATCAGCTGCCTAACAAGCTCTTATTAAATCCAATGTAACACATAAAAACATAATGTGATCACACAGTTGTAATGCCATGATTGGGAGTCTAAAAACTGTTCATTCAGCTCAAATCCAGAAATATTTCACAGAGCTCTGAAATCTTCATACCTGACTGGAAGGTGGAATATAGTCCCCAGGACACAAATAGACGCTTTCATCAGGCAGGTCCAGGTGAATATTAGACTGAAATTGAGAGGAAAATCATAGAATAAGGTACAACATATGGTCACTTTTACACCGGTATAAATATTATTTGTATTCCAAAAATCAACATTTTATGAAGATTACATCTAAGCACCCATCATGCAAAGACTTGAAAGACATCCTACAATCTCTACATGCTTCACGGTAGTCCTTATAAACAGCTAACAGTTCATCTCTGCTGGTAACCCAGAAGGAAATATTTCCCTCCTATAGCGCACTCAGCTGTGTATGTACTCTGATCGGCCTTGCTATTCATTGGGGGGAATTTATCAAAACTGGAGCAGACAAAATCTGGCCTCATTTTCAAACCTCAACTGAAGAAAGATGCTGATTGGTTGCAATAAGCAACTGCTCCAGATTCTCTCTGCCACATAAATAGCATTTCTTTTATCTAGTAGAAAGTAACTGGGAAGTTTGCCACTTGCTTGCAGAATATGTGAAACATATAAAAAAGTTTATTTCAGAACAGGAGTGTGTATATATATATATATATATATATACACACACACACTAGTTGAGCCCCAAACAAATGTCTGCATCAAGAGGTCCCCAATCTTCCACCGAATTTCAAATACAACACCCGATAATAATCCAGTGCAATTAAAAATGTATTATCCTTCAAAGATACAAAAATATTGCGCACACAAGATTGTGTCGCTTTATCTAATTTTATATTGTGGAAGAATAACACACACACACAGACTTCGTTGGACTGCCTTTAGCTTTGATTACGGCACACATTTCACATGACATTGTTTCCATAAGCTTATGCAATGTCACAACATTTCTTTCCATCCAGTTACATGAATTTCTCAGCAAGATCTTGTAGTGATGATGGAAGAGTGAGTAAAGTCTTCTCCTGCACATCCCAAAGATTCTTAATGGGCTTAAGGTCTGGACTCTGTGGTGGCCAATCGATGAGTGAAAATGATGTCTCATGCTCCCTAAACCATTCTTTCACAATTTGAGCCCGATGAATCACGGCATTGTCATCTTGGAATATGCCCAATGTGCCATCAGGGAAGACCAAATCCATTGATGGAAAAACCTGGTCATTCAGTATAGTCAGGTAGGCAGCTGACCTCATTTTTCGGGGACATAATGTTGCTGAACCTAGTAATTATCCAATGTAAGCTGAATCCAGGTGGTGACTTTTTTGGACAGGCAATGTATATGTATTTCCTGTAAGAAGTATGTGGTGTATGTAAAGCTCTGTTCTTCACTCCAAGGCAGGACTTTTCACGAATGATTTTCCACGTACTAAACAGGACTCAAAAAACATCACTAAACAATGTGTGCATCTAAAACATGACATAACCTTTGGGATACATCATATCAACAGTATTAGTTGCAGGTGATTCTAGATTCTTCATTTACCTGAAATATATATAATGGAGGGCGCGATTCTTGCACCTGCCATCACATACAGGGAAGAACAATGTGAGCCAGTAGCAATGATCTATTCCGCTGAATGTTTCCCATTCCCCCATCTGTGTCTTCCTGTCCCAGTGCATCCCATTCCCCCATCTGTGTCTTCCTGTCCCAGTGCATCCCATTCCCCCATCAGTGTCTTCCTGTCCCAGTGCATCCCATTCCATCTGTGTCTTCCTGTCCCAGTGCATCCCGTTCCCCCATCTGTGTCTTCCAGTACCGGTGACCCTTATTCCCCATCCGTGCCTTCCAGTGAACCCCCATTCCCCAACTGTGCCTCCTAATTCCAGTGAACTCCATGCGCAGTCTGCGCCCTCCAGTGAACCCCATGCGCCCTCCAGTGAACCCCATGCGCCGCCTGCGCCCTCCAGTGAACCCCATGCGCCCTCCAGTGAACCCCATGCGCCCTCCAGTGAACCCCATGCGCCGCCTGCGCCCGCCAGTGAACCCCATGCGCCGCCTGCGCCCGCCAGTGAACCCCATGCGCCGCCTGCGCCCTCCAGTGAACCCCATGCGCTGCCTGCGCCCTCCAGTGAACCCCATGCACCATCTGTGCCTTCCCGTTCCTGTGAACCTCCATTGTAATTTGTGCCTTCCAGTTCCAATGAACCCCAATCGCCATCCTATCCCAGTGAAACCCATTCCCCATCTGTGCCTTCCTGTCCCAGGGAACCCCATTCTCATTGCTCACCAAGGTCTCAACAGGATGAAAAGCAAGTGGAAATCTTGCAGGATTAAAGCGGTTACAGACTTTGCAGAGTGCTGGAAAATGTCAAGAAGAGAAGTTTCCATCACGCCCAGAGTGCCAGGTGGACACAAGAGGTTCACAAACTGGTTTTCAGACAAAAGCAACAGGTTAGTAGAGTCAGTCTGCCGATAAGCCACCTAATCTTCTACTAAAACCTGCAAGTAACCATGTGGATCCAGTCCAAGGACAACTTCACCGAAAGGCAATTCATCCACAACTCTCCTTCCTGGGGAAATTCACAGACGGTTCTGTATACAGTGAACTATACAAGGAACACAGACACTGGGACAGAGTTATGGGATATCCAAAGTTTTACTGATGACAGGAATGGAGAGGAGGTCTTCTAATGGGGACACCTGTTCTGGTGACAAACGTCTAAGAGGGGATTTTCTGCTCTCACTTCCTCTGGACCTCCAACATCATCATAATATTAAACTTACCCTACCCTGCATGCAGTGCCTGGGAGGTGAGTGGCGCTACTAGAGAGACTCCAGGTAATGCTGGCTATAACAAGTCTCACCAGAAGATACTGGAAATTTGGACTTCTGAAGATTTCAAGTTATACCCGGTGATCCTGCCATGATGGTTCTCGTTTAGGAACTTCCTATTATAGGGTGACAATGCTCTGTCCTTGTGCTCCTGCATCATCAGCCTATCACAGGAATCTCCAATGGAGACCACAAGTATCTGTTTCCACAAGCATTACACAGACATGGTACAATGCTGTCACCATCAGGAAACCCGCCCTGAGACATGCCATGCAGCCATCACTGGAGTGCATGTAGATAGGCAATGCCTGCAAAGAGACCAGCAGCCCTGAAAAAAGGATAAAAGAGGGTGTATACGAGTTGTTTGTTTTTTTACGGTCAATTGTTTTGGCAAGCGTCAAGTGCTTTAGAAATCTAAAAGTCATCCAATTAGGGTTTGCATTTAGGTTAACAATTTCCCAAACTGTCTGAAAAACAAAAAAAATCTGCTATACATGCCTTTAGAAAATCACTCATACATGTGTGCATATAAACGCAAGTGTATTATATGCATATACCCATGTACAATATATCATCACCACAGTATACAGTGTAACACTTTGTAAAGCGCTATACAAACTGTTGGTGCTATATAAATCCTGTATAATCATAATCCTGTCAATACACTCCTATGGGTACAAAAATGCAGCACCTGGGAATCCTGGGCGCTGCGAATACAGGTATAGTGTACACCAGTATTTATGTTTGTGCATGAGCCCTAAGGCACTCCTTCAGTTGTAGGTACGCTGAGAACCCTGCATATCACATGAGGATGCCAAGCGACCACCCACAACCCAGAGACCACCCACAACCCAGAGCGCCAGCTTCCAGGGAGCAAGGAATAAGATAAGTAAAAGTCCTTTTCCTGGTACCCAGCCTTAACCAAAAATTTGAACCCTACACACAAGAGTGTGTGGTGTTGTGTAAAAATCCAGAACGCCTGCATTTATATGCAGCACACACCAAACCACTCGCATGGTGTGAACAGGGTACATAGAGAACAATCCTCAGGGTCGTGTGTTGATTAATGCACATTGTATGAAGAAGCCCCAAGTCCCTGTTCACAACGCAGCGTATAATAAAGGTGCGTCAAACACGCACAAAATGGCTCTTCGACACATGTTCACAAAACGTGGAATATGTTTGCAGTGCAATTACTACTTCTTGGTACCCGAAATGCAGGCTTCAGCTACTGGTGAACCTGCACCCCATTCACCATTTGCTATAGATGGGGCCTTGATGAGGCAGTGTGACTTCCACATATTTTGCAACTAAAACCTCTGTTTTTAACCCAAATAGATAACACAGTGTCATTTGTTTGTTCTTTCCAGGCTGGCTGGTGAGCATTCTGGGAAATTTCTGCTTTTGTGCTCGCATGCGTGAGAACAAGCAGGTAAAAAAAACAAAAAACATGGTACAGAAACAAAAATGTCCCAGCGCACTCACCAGCCAGCCTGCAAAAAAAACAACAGCAATGACACTGACTACCTATTAGGGTTAAAAACAGAGGTTTTAGTTGCACAACATTTGCAAAACGTGTGGAAGTCACACTGCCCCGTCAAAGCCCCTCTGTATAGAGTGGTCCTAACTCTAATCTATGAGAGCGTCCATCTTGGAGCATCTGTAGCAAAGGATGAATCCGATGAAGGTTCACCCGGAGGCAGCCCTTTCATTCTTAAAGGATCATTAAAGACTCCTGTTTATTTGCATAAATCTACTGCTACTGTATATCTAGATGAGCTAGCAAGCGCTGTATATCTAGATCAGCTAGCAAGCGCTGTATATCTAGATCAGCTAGCAAGCAGTAGATAGTATATGCAAAAACATGAAAAAAAAACAAACAAAGTTGACAAAAAGATTAAAACAGCGGTTCTCAACTTGTGGGTCGCGACCCCGTCGGGGGTCAAATGACGATTTGCCAGGGGTCGCCTAAAGACATTCCAACTCTCCCGGATGCTCCCGCTATTAGATAGCGGCTCCCGGCCGCCGGGGAGAGAAGCACTTTATCCCGGAAAGGTTTACTCTGCTCGATCGAGCAGAGTAAACCTTTGTCTGCTGTTTTGTTTTTTTTCTGAAAAAAAATCTGGTCAGAAAACAATCAAATAAACCACCATAGGAATGCATAGCTAGATTCCTATTGGCTATTTCACTTTGCAAAAGCCAATAGCAAACTAGCTATTGCACCCACCCTCTGCTGCTGCCAATCAGCAGAGGGGGACCTGAAGTTCTCCATCAGGTCCCCTTCTAGTGATTGACAGCAGCAGTGGGCGGGTGCAATAGCTAGTTTGCTATTGGCTATTGCAAAGTGAAATAGCCAATAGGAATCTAGCTATGCATTCCAATGCTGTTTTTTTTTATTCTGACGGCATACATAACGCGGTTATATCCACAGTGCAACTACCAAAAAGATTGGGTTTTCTACTCTCTACGCAGGTAATGTCAGGAGTCTGCTGTTGTTGTTCTAGGAAGGGTATTTCAGCTTCAAAAAGCAAGTAGAACAGTGGTTCTCAACCTGTGGGTTGCTGTGTGATTTCTACTGTGCTAGGTGAGAGTCCCCCTCAGCCCTCTCCTAGCGCAGAAGTGTCAGTTCTCCCGCCACGCCGCCAGATGTCGCTGCAGCAGCCATGTCATCCCTAAATGTTACTGTTGGGGGTCACCACAACTTGGCAAATGTTACCGAGGGGTCCCGGCCCTAGAAAGGTTGAGAACCACTGGTTTAAAACTTACCTGTGTCTCCGTCGCACAATCCCGTCCGAAGATCTGAAGATTTGGGCAGCTGCAAAGCATCTTGGGGCGGGCGGATGGGCAGTAGAGATCTTCGGACTCCTAAAAACTACAGGAAAGATGGTGATGGGATGAAGGAGGCATCATTTAAGGTAAGTCCTTACACCAGCGTAGGAGGTGGGGGGGGGGGCGACGAAATACATTTCAGGCTTTAATGTCACTTTAAGGTGCGTCTGCCGTTTCACTTGGAATACGTCACAAAATTTGCTACATGCACCGCTTTCCGAATTGGCACGCGTCCAGGGAACGATTAAAATCAATGGGGAAGTGCACCAACGCGGGAAACAAAACACCCATGAACATGTGTTCCCACTACACTATGATGTGCATGGGGGCTTAAGGTGATTTCACACCAGCAAGCTGCAGTAAAATCACAGTGAACCCCATTCCCCATCGGTGCATTCCAGTTCACCCCATTCTTAAAACCAATGCATAACTTTTTTTGTAAGAACTTTATTGAAAAGTGCCAAATGACACTTCATGCAGTTACAGAGCCTGTGCGCAGTGAGATGCAGTTGTACTGCGATGCACCACGCTGTGCCGAAAGAAAAGTGCATGCACCACCGCAGAGGTGTGAACTGGGCTGGCTGGATTGCCTTGTCTGTGCGTTGGGAGAGAACTGGAAAAATCTACCAGTGCATGGTGGAAATGGGCCCTGGACAATGACATGTCTGACACCAGAAGAACTTTCTTCATCCAGCTCCATAGGGAATAGAAGAATAGCTGGATGTGTCAGCCCGGCTTCACTCACAGTCCGGCGATCACATCGTCATGTGTATGGCCAGCTTCATTACCCCACTCATATGTCATGTACAGAAGTAATGACACGCTCAGGACACAATTATAACACAGCGGGTTGGTATTCCTTCCTATCCGCTGCCTAGGAAACAAAAACATTCACATGCGGTGTGAGGGGAGAATGCAACTTTATTAACACAGCACAAAGTTACAAAAAGATCAGCCACATGACAGAGCAGACAAACTGCCCGCAAAACACACCATCCCCCCAACACCGCTCACCTGGCCATCGTCACACACGGAGCTTCGTACGGGGACCGGGGCTACGAGCAGAGCGCCCAGCGCACACAGCCGCCACATGCCAGCAGCTCTCAGCACCACATCCTGGAGACTCGGCCAGCTGGCAGCGTCAGGATTACGTCCCTTGTTTCCAGCCTGGCCGCGTCTGCACCAATCAGCGATGCGCGGCCACCCAAACCTGACCGTATTGGCTATTCTCCGCCCCGCCCACCAATAACAACGCGTCACATCCACTGGTGTAATGTTTTCATAAGACACGTTTCCTCCCAGGAGACGGAGCGGGAGGGCGGAGCTGAGAGAACACATGGGGTGTAAGCCGACCACGTGTCCTCTCAGCTCCTCCTCCTGTCTGTAGATCAGGAATCCTGATTGCATTGTGGTCACTGGTCAGAGTTAAAGTGTGCGTCCGCTTTAGGATGGTGCGCTCGAAGAGTGTATAGGAAAAGCAGTTCTTTATTCATTTTGGATAGGGAGGAGTTAAAACCTCTCCACTTATTTTGTGGTTTTTCATTTTGTTGTTTGTAATTATTAAACTGGACCTCCCCTCTCCTAATACATCACCAATGTCATTGAAAACACTTGATATACATAACATTTAATATGTGGGAGAAGTTTATATAGTTTCTCTCTATCTCTGAAGCTGTCAATAGGGTGTTATTGAGGAGTTTGGGGAAGAGCACTATAGCGCGGATAATCATTTGTTTTAGGAATGAAAACACTACAGTGTAACAAGCTCATTTGTTACTTCAGCACTCTGCCACTGGTCCTTTGTGCCTGCCCTCCACTTCTTGTAATGGCATCTAAAAAACTGAATCAAAAGTGGCCAGCTTCTTCTTTTTTTTTTTTTCCCCTCTACACTGACCCACCAACAGCATTTGTGCCGGATTTCACTCAGGGGCAGACCCAGAAGCAGCGATGCGGCATGCACGAGTGGGCGGGGCTAACATGCCATATTTAGACAGCCTGTTACATCCAAGAAGCTCCCACGAACTAAACAGCTTGTATGTTCCAGGCGCAATCCTCTGCAGAGCTCCTTTGCTTTACTTTACTTCTTCCACCAGGGGGCAGCGCTCAAACTCCAGGTATCTCTAGTATTAAAAACACAAGAGCGCCCCCATCTAAGTCCTTGTTCACACCTGACCGTTTTGTAGCGCGTCCTACGCTCGACGAACGCTCTACAAAACGGTCAAAAAAATAAATAGCATTGTTGTCAATGCCCTCGTTCCCACCTAGGCGTATTTCCGCCCGTCCCTAACGCCCTACAAAACGGCCCACACCTGAAAAGGTCCCGGGACTACTTTGGGCCGTTTTGTAGGGCGTTTTCCTTTGGGATACAGCCAAGTAGCCTTTGGAATCGCGCGACTTTTTTACCACGAATCGCGGTAAAAAAAACGCGCGACAGACGCGCTTTTGCAATACGCCTAGGTGTGAACCCAGCCTAAGTGTAGACACATTTATAAGTGAACCCTGAGCTCTGAAGAAGGGGGGCGTGCCCCGGAAACGTCATCCAGGCAACAGACGGGCGGAGAGGAGCATTTGTATGCATGCTTGAATTGATCCACTCTTGGGAGTAGTATCATCTTTTAAGATTTCACTAATAAATGTGTCTACATTTAGATGGGGCGCTCTTGTGTTTGTTGTTTAGAATCCAAGAAGCTCCCAACCGGCCGTTTAATTACAACGGCCAGACGGGAAGCTGTTATAGTAGTATTAAACGCTCAAACATTTTTTAAAAATAATAAATCCAGATCATAAAAATATAAATTACCCTGCAAAGTATTTCCCCCAAGCACTTCCAGTCATCAGGTTTCCAAACAGCTCCAACTCTCTAAGCTCAGCCTCCCTGAACGTCCTGTCCAGTACAAGATCACAAGGGACAGAGCAATCTCCAGCAGCTCTCCATCTACTAGCTTGGAAAACGGAGAAGGAAGGAGAGCGGCGCAGGAGGATGACTTTCCATGGAAACAGTATTTCTCTGCCCTGTATAGGGATCCTATCACTGGTGAGTTGTCACTAGCAACAGGATCGCCAGTGCCACATGACTCTAGCACTGCAATGTTACTTTTTACATTTGTTACAATGTAATCTGCTTGCACACACTAAAGATGATCACAATGCATAAGAGCCCCTTAGCCGATAGCTTCTAGTGATCATGAGAAATGCTGAAAGAAAATAAGAGACAAAAATGTGTTGGACCCAAATAGTACAGAGGGTATCATTGTAAAATGTTGCATCAGAACGAGAGGTAAACTTTGCACTCGCTGACTTAACTAAGAGGTAAAAACAAACAAGACTGTGCTGCATTCGTTATTTTTCTTCAGCCTAGAGTTTTGCCCCTGTAAGGTATAGCGACTACGGAGGCAAAGTAATTGTTTTTTTTTTTTAAGTTGAACTGCGGGCACAAAAAGTTTCATGGAAATATATTTCTCAATACATGCAAAGCAAATACATCCACTTTGTGTGCACCACATGAATTTACATGTCCAGTTTAGGGTTGCCACCTGTCCAGGATTCACCCAGACAGTCCGGGTTTCATGGCAGCAGAAACCCGGACACAAGATGTCAGGCAGGAGGGGCAACCAAAATTAAGATAGGGGCTACTGGGCCCCCCAATTAAAATAGTCTCAACTGTGATATTTACATATGAATGGGTGGCGCTATTTACATATGAATAAGCCACGGCTCATTCTCCCCAAAAAATGTCCACGCATCGCTAGAGGGTACAGATTTTGCTTGAATAAAAAAAGTGGCAACCCTAGTCCAGTTATTACCTTGTAAAAGTATGAGTCACATCATCACTGTGCCGTTCATATTCTTTGTAGAGAGCAGAGCTGGGGGAGGGACCCAGCAGCCATTACAGGCTGCTGAAAACTAAAGAAGGGGGCAGTAAGAATACATTTCCCTCTTGCATTTTGGCAATATTTGCTTATTTCACAGTTAAGCTTTAAAACCACTAATGTGAAATGATAGTTCATAAAGGCGATTAACATCAAATGAGATAGATATTTTAAGCAATGCTGCTGTGTTCCTATAAAAATATAAAACAGGATAAGCCCCTCTCATCCTCCTCCTCGCCAGCACTCATTTGCACATATAAGAGGACCCAGGGAGGTATCTGTTTATTTTCCCCATTGACAACTTCGCTGTCAGGAACGGGACGTTATTAGTTAGAAAAGCACACGTGTAAAGTTATAGCTGCCATGAAGTATCATTTTGCTTTCCATAGTGTGAGGACTTAAGTCAAATCTAGCAGCAGAAGTAATGCTCATATCAACAGCTTAAGAATAATCTGATGCCTACAACATACACATACATTTTATTTCACCAGGATTCACAGCGAAACAGCCACTAGATGGAGCACAGGAATTTCCTATGCTCCTTAGCTCCGTCTAGTGGCCACAATGAGCTGCGAATCTCATTCACATAGCTGTTTGCTGTGCAAAAGGTTTCTAAATCACCCCAGAAAGTGAAATGTATTGGTCTAAACACTTCTCAGTAACAACTCCTTTTCTATTAAATTATCAGTATGCATTCCTCACCTTCGTCCCACTCCATTTCCCTTCTATACCTCTCTTTCTGTTTGTTTCTCTGGCTTTACCTCTTTATGTTCTTTTCTTTGTCTCTTTGTTCCTCCCCTACATGTTGGAGGTCTTCTGTTGCACATCGTTTTGTCCTCCTCTTGTCTTTCATCTAAACGCATACATTGTTTAAAGCCCATTTCTCCATTCCTATCGTGCCCTCAAAAAGAACGACATGGAACAATATTTCTACTCAGTGACCTAGCTACATGGGAAAGGGAGTTTTTTTTTGTTTGTTTCTGGACACGGGTTGCCCTGCTAACTGGTCCCAGTTCCTACTTTGGTAAATCCTAAGGGTTGGAATGTTTATTATCTGCTTTCTATAGTTCCATAATTTATACAGTTCATGTGGCGTGCTCTGTCATTTTCATGGATGACTATTCTGTACTGTTGTTCTTTGTACTAATTGTTTACATTCTGTAAATTGTACTTTTGAATCTTTCATAAGCTCAGATTGAACTAAAGTATTAGTATGAGCTTATACGAGACTAGTATGTTACTCTTCCAACCCATAATAGTAGTGCTGGTAATGATTAAAATTTTCCTGTTCGATTAATCGAAATTGTTAAAAATCGATTAATCGACTAATTTCGATGAATTATAACGCACATACAGATCCAACTACTTTTAGGTAATAGGGCGCATTCTGATTTCTTGTAAAACCACACAAAATGGATCTTTAAGCTGGAATAAAAGTGCTGGCCCAGTATCCACAAATGTATGGGATGCTGACTGGGAAGTAGATACAGTTGTAGAAAAAAACAAAACACCAAAAATATTGTCCTATCAATCATTATTGCATTGTAATTTGCACTGTTTTAGTTTACAATTGACCCCGTCAGTCACCCTAAAAAAAAATTAAATCTTATTAGCAGTTTCCTGCTATAGAAGAGGTAATATACTCACCTATCCGGTGGCCCTTGTCTCCATCCAAGCACTGCAGCCTCCATCAGGCTCATTAGCATTTGACACTTCTGGGATTTGTACCCCACTGTACACTGTGGTTCCATCCACTGACCCCATACATCAATACTGTGTACTGTAGGGGTTGGAGGATTAAACCACAGTGTGTAGTGAGGGATACAGGTATCCAACATTCCTGGAAGTGTTGAAAGCTGAAGAAACTGACAGAGGATGCAGCACTTGAACAGACAGGTGAGTATATTACCTCTTCTATTGCAGGGAACTGCCATTAGTATATGTTAGTATTAGTATATGTTAGAGACTCACCGGCCCAAGTGATTCCGTCAGGTAACGAAGGGAAGGGGGGGGGGGAGTCCAGTGATGTCACGGACAACTACATGACCGGACTCCTCCCCCCTTCCCTTCGTTAGCCGACAGAGCCACTCGGGGAAGGGGGGGAAGAGTCCAGTGACATCGATGTCTGTGACGTCACCGGATCTCCGACGAAGGGATTAATCGTTAATTTCCGCAGCCCTACATAATAGTATTATAATGTCAGATTTACAGTTCTTTGCATCATAGGAGAGCTCCAGGAAATATAACTGGAAAGGACAAAGTGAGATAATTGTAAAGGGTTAATAACACTTGTTTTAGAGAACCATGGACAGCACAGTCAGGAGTGCAGCTCAATACCTCCAAACATATGCTCTCTGCTTGTTGTCTCTGCTTTTTCTAACCATCTGCAGCTAATTACTCCAGTTGTACCCTTTACTGACTAAGCTAAGTAAGCTTCATTTACTCTGACATTTATCACAAGTAGCACATCAAGGGACTTAAACCTGAATCTGCTTAAATCACATACTATGATTGTTGCAGCTGGATTTTTATTACCTTATTACCCTTTCAATCATTCAACCTTTATCAACCAGACCAGACTGGTAGACTAGGGTAATAAGAAAGGAACAGAAGGGCAACTACTATGCTGGAAGCACCAAATACATATTTAATAGTCTAATACGGCTTCGCCCATGCACAAATACATTTTCATATGCTACATAGAAATGAGGTTTTGAAACAAATGCAGCAGACTGGTGAGAGTGGACATTAACTTCCCTATATGCAAGGTGTCCTCCACCTGGCTGTACTGTGTAGAGGTCTATTGATTTAGTTTAAAAGGCACTAAAATACCAATACAGAATAGTTTTTGCTGTACTAGCAGGTAAAACGGCTTGAACTGTACATACATCCATTTTTAAATCATTAGCTAATCTTGTTGCTGCCTGGATAAATCATTATGCAGGAAGTCGCTACTGGGTTCCTTGAGCTGGTGGGACAGATAACAGTCTTATCGCTTCAGGATTATTCACAAAATGGGGAAGAGTTTGAAGAAGGCAGGAGAAGTGAACACTGACAGGGGTGCCCATTAGGTAGATCGTGATCTACCAGTAGCTCTCAAAGCTGATGCTGGTAGATCACGAAGGGTGTGAATGGCGGCCCCTTTATTCCATTTTGGTATATTTATTTATCTGTGCACACATGATTAACTATTAGCTTGAGTCTGCTGAGCCAAGCTCCCTGACACCTTTCTGGTGGATACTGGTGGTTGAAGTGCTATGTATTACATCAAAGAATATTAGTTTACACAGCCTGTTGCACTACACTGTTTGCAAAATACAGCAAGGTGAGTCAGGAGAGACAGCCAGGAAAGAGAGGGAGGAGAGACAGCCAGGAGGATGAGCATGAAGAGACAGCCAGGAGAGCGAGGAGAGACAGCCAGGAGAGAGAGAGCGAGGGAGGTTTTTTTTGCGTTGGTAGATCTCATGTAGCTCGTCATTTGAAAAGTAGACCTCAACACAAAAAATTGTGGGCACCCCTGCTCTAGGACATAATAGCCGATTTAGAATAATTCTACAACTCAGCTCACTTTTTAGTTCAGCTATGTTGTCCTAAATTGTTCACTTCTCCAAACTCTTCTCTATTTCGTGAATAAGCCTGTTTGTCATTGCTTCACATTAAAACAGGACATGCAGCCAAGTGAAGACTCGCATGCTGTTCAAACACATCCAAGGAAAAGACTCTGCTACTGTTATATAATTGGACACGGTGCAGCAGAAACCAATGACTTGTCTGTAGATATTGTAAACATACTTCTGTGACCCCCAAAGAGAAGATACTGAAGTGTACAGATTACTGGTGAAATAATGATTTTATTATTTAATTAATAGGAATCCGTACCTTTCTTAATAGGTCATAGCTCAGCAGATCACAGGCACGGAGGATATAGCTGCAGGGCTCCATTTAAACACAAACATGAATCACTGTTCAAACAAATTTGGCACTCAAACAGTTCAACCTCTTCAAAATCCCAAAGCCAATTGCGAACAGAACACTTAAATAAATAAAGCACTTGCTAAAGTAAGGGAGATGGAAAAATGTTTGTGCTGATGAAAGGTTCAAGGACAGCACATCAGAAAAACATTACACATCATCTCTGAGGCCACAGAAAATGATTGCAGTATCAGTTTTGTGGATGTCCTTCTGCTCTCTCCTAAGATTTCTTCTTGGCATTTTCAGCAAGGTTCTGCTGAGATATAAAAAGAAAAAAGACACAGCTGGCGGTGGTGAAGGAGAGGACGGTCATGGAGGTGTTTTTGGGGATTCCTGGGATTATCTTCCTAGAGGGTATGAACTAATTTGCAAATCATCAGCACTTGCCAATTGGTTTCTAAAAGATATCCAGCGTTTGCCACAACTAGAGCCAACTCGGTGGTGGTGGAGGAGCTGTCCAAATCTTCAGACGATTATTCAACACTTACTACCACTGGACAGGTCACTGGAGTTATTCAGAGACCACCTGCAGCTTGCAGATGGTGGACTTGTTGCTTTAGATTGGGTGGTGGGCCCAAGACAAAGCTCAAAGATGAGAAGAGGCACAAATGCTACAGGCAACCCACCACTGCTCTTGGTCATTCCTAACCCCTTTGGAAAATTAACAAGAAACATTCAGAACCTTTGTTTTCAAGCTTTAGAAAAAGGGTACTACCCTGTCATATTTAACAGACGGGGACAAAATGAATGCCCGTTAACAACCCTTAAGCTACAAGATTTTGGTGAACCGGAAGATCTGAGAGAAGCAGTTACTTATATTCGTTTCAGACATCCAAGTTCCATGCTCTTTGCAGTCAGTGAAGGGCTTGGATCTGGACTTCTGCTGTCCTATCTGGGAGAGTGTGGCTCATCGAGTTACTTGACAGCTGTATCCTGCATTTCTCCAGTGTTTCGCTGCCAAGAGTGGTTTGAGAACAAGCTCCCATGGCTGTATGAATGGGCTCTGCTTCTTTATCAGAAATCTATTCTCCGCAGGTAAGGTAAACCCAACAAAGTAGTGTGTGTACGTTTAGATGAATATGTAAAAGGTTTAGGACATCATTAGAAATTAATATATATTTAGAATTAAAGGTACTGTCAGAAATAGAAAATTAAATATCAAAATACATGAACATTTGTCTGCACAGCTTACCTGTCAAAGGTGCATTTTACTAATTCAGATATACTGTAGCTGCAGTGTACCAGGCCACCCACTATTTTAAACTGCCTTGTTGCACTAAGCTAGAGTTCTGTGAACACCAGTTGGTGCGCCATGTAAACATGAACAACAGGGAATCTGCATCACAAGAAACACAACAGGAAGCTGGAACCCCACTGAGTGGCACGCAAGAGAATGTGATTACATAAAGTTCAGAAAAAGGTACATATAAATGTACTTTGACCTTTTTTTTAATCAGTCTAATGCAAGGTATATTATTGATCTATTGTCAAATATGCATTATTTGCCACAAAATGGCTATTCAGAGCTGCCTCCATCGGAACACCCTGGTTCTTAGTTGTGATTAAAGTCTACAATGCCCACTTTAGGACAGCCTTCCTAAAAATCTTAAAATTGACAGATCTAATGTAATTGATCCAAAAGGAAACAGAAAATTAGAATTTAAAAAAAAAAAAAATGTATTACTTTTTTTTTTTAACAACTTTTGGTATCACAAAAGGGACTAATAAGATGACAGGGTCTCTATGGAGACATCAGGGGTCTTTAAGACCTCTGATTTCTTTCCTGCCCTCCAATATAGATCATCAGGCACAGGAATGTGCTCCATTAGTCTGTATACCTGTCGCTTCAGCCGGCTTCTGACAGCTGAAACTGAAAGCGCTTAATGCTTCAGTGATCACAGGGCAGATCAGGGAAAGGACGTGTGCCATGGTCCAGAAGAGTGGGTGGCTTTTATAATAGCCCAGATCACTTGCAGTTGTAGCAGTCAGCTCTGCCTGACGCCATTGGTTGCAGGATGCCAGTGGTCCTAGCAACCAATGACTGAAGCAGAGGGAGGGCCTATGGTGGCTTATGGCTGGATGTGAAAACACCTGCCTCGGAGACCGGTAAATCCACTGTCAGCCAGCCATAGCCCAGTGCAGGTTGGCGATCGCGGTCCGGACAGAACCGCCACACGGTCAAACGTTTATTGAAGGCTGGTTTAAAGTATCAATTATAGCAATGTATAGATTAGCCACTAGATGAAGCCTGTTGCTACAGCTGTTGAGATAAGATGTCAGCAACACAGTAAATGCATTGTTTTCAATCAGTTGGCTGACCCATTGGCTTAAATTGTGGGGAGGAGCACTAAAGCAGAACAATTTGCAGCAATGCATAGGTTCTGGGCAAGTATGGCTGTTCCCACCTAAATACATAACTGAATACCATATTAAGGGGTTATTCACCAAGCTGACGAATGGAGCCAAGTGAATAACTGAGCCGAGCCGAAGTGAAGAGACCCGAACCTCGTAAAATCAGCTCCCTGGTGCTCAGCCAAACAGCTTTAGCGCGTTTGGCTGAACCAAAGTGAACAGCACGCTCGCCTGAGCCGATCCAACCTCTGAGGCGAATGTTTGGTAGTTTAGTCGCATAGGGGCTGAACAGCAGAGAGTGAATAGCCGAACGCTGCCGTGCAGCATTTCGGCTCAGTCATTCTGCTCACTACTTCAGGGGTAGTGAACAGAATGTAAAATGTTATATAAACAAAAGGAATTTTTTTCTAAAGTCTGGTCTGTTTATTTACATTCGATTTAACTCTTTAGTGAATGAGTAGGGGTACCACCACACAAAAATCAGCATCAAGTAACAGCAGAAGATAATTTAATCCCTATATCTTTTAGCATTGTTTGATATGTCCGTGCAGCGCACAGGAAGTTTCCAGATCAACAGGTATTTTTTTGCACTTGAAGAAAATGTTCTTAGTCTAAAAAAAAAAAATCTAAAGCAGCCACCACAGCCAAGTTACAATATATTTAATATGTTCTTGGATTTAGAAATCCTTTAAAGTAGATGTAACCCCTAAGTGTGGGGTCTACAAACTGTTCAGCTCACTGACCCCCTCAAAGTTTCAGATTGCTCACTGACCAAAGGGGTCGTCAGCTAGCTATGGAGAGGCTTGTCTTTAATATTAGCATTAGGCACTAAATTGATAGGATTTGGGCTCGTGCCAATGGGCAAATGCAGATTGCTTTGAAACTTGGTTTGGGATGATTCTGAGATCATTCAGAATCCATTGACAAACTCATTTGACCTGCTGCTACCCACATTGGCATGCTTATAGACCTGTATGGGGTCAGAAGCCATTCTGACAAATAAAAGCCTGTTGACACAGGCTCTTATAATGTTATATGTGCTCATGACCCCCCCTCTGGGCACAGAGATCCAAAGACACTAGATTTTGTTGAACTAGCTTTTTGTGTCGTTCAGGATCACCATTAGTTTCTTGTTAATCATGGAGCTCATCGCTCACCTAGGCCTGGTTCATACTGAGCGTTTTGTAGTGCTTTTCTGTCCTAAAAAACGCTAAAAAAATATGCCTTCCCCCCAAAAAATCCCATAAATTTCTATGGCCCTGTTCACATCTGACCGTTTTGTCTCAATAAGCAAAATGCCTACCACTGGAAAAAGTACAGGAGTTTTTTGGGGGGGCATATCACAGCTCCTTTTGGCCCTATAGACTCAATAGGAAACGCTTGAAAATGCACGTGTACGGTGTTTTTGAGCATTTTTATGCTTATTAACATCAATGAGCTACAATCTGCTCACAAAAGCATGTTTTGACGTAAGCGCATAAAACACACAGGAACATGTATCAAAAATGCACAAAAACGCTGTCTGTGTGAACCCAGCTTTGGTAAAGCATATAACGTGTTGTTTCCATGTCTTTGCTATCATTTGTTGAACCACCATGAATATAAAGGTGACATATTTAGAAAGAAATGATATAATTTTATGAAGAAGGGATTTCAAACTATGGTGTTGATCTCAACATTGAACAAATAGGTTTATATGTGCAAATCCATAAGTGTTGGACCTTGGGGTAGCCCTACCATTTATGGAATATTGTTCCATCAATTACATCTGCAGAGTGCCATGTGTTCTGGACTCAAATATCCATCTTATTCATACCTTATAGGGTAAAAAATTAAACAGTGTAACAAATCAACGAGCTGGGAATTAGTCTGAAGGCATTATGAGTCTTCAGTTTACAAAAAAAAAAAAGTCAGAACCATATAGAATCTAAGGAACAGTGAGGGACTAAATATCAGAAATCCCTATCAGCATACTGCAGCTAAAGGGAAGGTTAGATGGCAAACGTATAACGAAGGAGTTGGTTTAGAAACCTGAGGTGGCTGTAGAATATACCAAAGCCAACACAAGAGGGAAAGGGGTGGTGGAGTCGAGTGGCAACTCACTAACATGGTGGGGTTGAATGGTCAGCCCCTCGGTGAGAATTCAGGTAGAGGCGGAGGGAATAGGGGAAAAAAAAAAAAGGTAGTGAGTGGAAGGAAATGAAGAAGAGATATGTAGGAATACTTTAGCTCTCAAGAAAAGAGCCAGAAACAAAGAATTACCAAACAAGAAATAGAGAAGGTGGTAGTTACATAGTCAGGTTGAAAAAAAAAGACATGTCCATCAAGCTCATATAGAGATATGAAGAAAAAAAGAAAGGTAGAAAGAAAGATTGTGTGTGTATTGCAATGTTCATGTCATGCTTATGAATAAACGCCAAAGGACCGACACCACTATACTGAAACCTTTACACATGGTGCTTAGTTGATAATAAAACCCCACTACTTGTGCTGCCACAGGAAATAATCAAGTATGACATCAAGGACCTGTTGATGATGATATTGTGGTATGCCAAAGGAGAGAGCCCACCTCCTCCTAGGTCGCATGGCGTAGTCAATACAAGAACAGATTGTGAATGAATCCGTGTGCACTCTCCAGCGGTAAAAACACATAGAGCATATCCCCGTCTGAGAATATTTGTGGTATTGAGATATATTATAATCTAACAAATATTTGGATCTGTACAAGAATACTCATACGCGATAAGGACGATGCATCTCGATGAGTACATCATGATTAATAACTCACGGCCATGTTTTGTATGGTTTTTTATTAAGTATTGATTTTATGGAATCATATTGATTTGTAATAGTAAATATCGATTGTTTTTATCAGAAGGCATTTTGTGTGGGTTGGGACCTGAACAGTCCGTTATTAGTTTTTTGGGATTTGGTTATTAATTTTTTTTATATTGTAAGTTTTTTTTAAAAATGATACACAAGTATATTTTCCTAAAGGTTTGTATAGCAGTTATAACATCTGTTTCTGTACAAAGGAAGTATTGTCATACAAGCAAAGGTGATTAAAACCTTACAATACAAGAACATAAAAATGTTTTAATGATATAAACCATACATCACATGATTTCTTCATTGCAGATACTTCACCGTTTTAAGTGAAATTCTACCCACTGAGAAATTATTTAACAGTCAGTCTCTCCAGGAACTACACGAGACTCTGCACTGTCAATGCAAGACTGGGAAGGTCAGTTGGGACGATTACTGGGATCAAAATGATCCCCTCCGTGATGTAGATGAAGTGGCAGTCCCTGTCCTGTGCATCTCTAGCATGGACGATCCTATTCGAGGACCACCGGAGTCTACCCTCCCCATTGAACTTTTTAGGACCAATCCTTATTTTCTGCTGCTGTTTACACATTATGGAGGCCACTGTGGCTTCCTTACAGATTCCCCTGTAGCATGGAGTCATGTCGTTACATTAGACTACTTTAGATCTGTGACAGAGTTTTTCCGTATTGAGGACAAAACAAAGTGGTTGGCCAACCGGAGGAGCTCCAATATAATGAGCAGACGAAGAAGACCAACCTTGCAAAGACGGGAGCTCTCTGCTTACAGGGACTTGGAAGAAGAGATTTTCAGCTGGAAAAGATCGTACACCAGGTGACCCTACCTGAAATATGTGCATTTTATTACATTTTTATTCAACTTACCCAGCCTAACACAGGAAGAAATAGTTGGCTATCATCTGCACAAGTCCTGTTTCCCCTTACACTTTTTTCTTAAATCAGGACATAAAATTGTTTTTGCACACACAATAATTTGTTCTGTGCTGTACTATGCTGCTTAACATCTGCCACACACTATTTTGTAAAATATGATGGGTGCTTTATTTCCACTTTTGCATGTAAGTTTGAGGAAAAACCCACTATACAATTGTTATGTGTTCACATTTACACAGCATACCCAAAAAGAATAATAAAAAATAACACCTTTTTTTTTTTTAGCCAGAGCAGGTTTTTGTGCATGATACTGTGAACAATTTCAAAGTAAGTCTTTCCCCAGACAAAGTGGGGGCAGAGTGAGTTTACCCTCTTTAATGTAATGCTGAAGCCAAGCTTCTCAATCTTTAAACTCTTGTTACGACAGACAGTGGTCAAACCTAGTTTACAAATGATGATATGCAAGTACAGTACAGATGGGTTTAATTTTAGTAAACATTAACATCTGCCTCCTTAACATTACATAGCAGAGGAAAACTTCAGTTTCTGGAGTTTGCAGAAAAGTAAAGGTAGGCAGTGATTTTCTTTTAAAGTTATGTGATAAGAATATGTAAGAAACACAGGAGGATAAAAAGTCACAGATGTGCTACATTGCAAAAGAGAATGACTGTAGGAAAGCACTCTTTGTACAGATCATGGAACTCTAACATGCTCCTTTAAGGCCCAACGTCATCAAAAACATTTTTTTGTTGAAAAGTGCTCCATACCCCTATTTTGGAAATATGAAATTGGGAAAAGGTTAGAACTTCTGTTAAGTTATAATTAACTTTCTGAAATAACTGCTCCTCCTGCTGTCACAGGGACAAGTGAGACGAGCTCTCCCCAACACCTCTAAGTTAGCAATAGCAGTTTCCATAGCAAAGAAAGCATAACTATGACAGCCCCAGAGCCTGCACCTCTAAGTTAGCAATAGCAGCTTCCATTTTTGTTTCCCGCCAGCCTCACTGTAACGTGGCTCTTGCACTGGAAAGCTGAATGCAAGGTCAGCCTGTAAAGAGAAGAATAAATAGTCACTTGTCCACCACCAAACTCCACTCTGCTCTCCTTTTAGAAATGAATCCAGCAGGTACAGTTCATAAACTGTATTAAGCAACTTTCAGCACCTAAGTGGAACAGCTTTTATATTGGTTTTATTTAATTTAAAAAACTAATTTAATGTACAACACGTACATTTTGCATCATTTATTGGGAATTGCTATATGAGATCTTATAAACCTGGTGAGAAGAGGAGGAGTGGTGAAACATTATTACCTGGTTACAATGTAAAGAAGGAATTGTGGAGAAGGAAAGGATTTATCGATTGAGCTTTTTTTACCATTCTGTTATGAGAAGGTAATAAAACTGGTGAGTGTGTTTTCCAATTTGTTACACAAGAACAGAGTTCTGGGAGAAAGTTGAACATTTGGAATGAAGAAAAGATAATGATTATAGTATGACTACTGACTAAAGATTTTAACTTTTTGATGCACTTATATATATATAAAAAAATCATATTTGCATATTAGCCTTCTGTAATCCTCGCACAGCAGGAATGAGATACTGGTATAGGCCACACTTTGCCAATCATTGGGGGAGCACTGATAAGAATAGAGAGCAGAATGAGTAAAAACCTCACCAGTGTGATGATGATTCTGTCAACTCTCCAAGTGATTAGTGACCAAACTGTGATGCAGGAAAAAATAAAAAGGTCACTTACCTAAGTATGCACTCTGGAAAGGGTGTCTGGATGACGAGACTGGCAGAGCAGAATTACAAATATTTTGGGAATTTAAATTTTTGATATACACCTATTGCAGCTGTGCCATCTACCTGAGCTGAGCTTTAAGAGGCGATTCCCCAAGGCAGATCTTTTAACCTTCACTGGCAATCATGAATTTCATCATAGAACATTTACAAAATAAGAAAATGAAAAAAAAATCCCCCAGAAAGACTGCGTTACTACATCCCAGATAGATAATTTCGGACTGCAATCACCATTTCTCCAGAAATAAATGACACCTACAAATCAGAGCATGAATGCATATTTACTCTCTTTAACCCATGTCAATGTATTTCAACCCAACTTGAAAAATAAAGTAGCAAAGAAACTCTCAATGTGTACTAAAATTACTTTATTACAGTTGATTTTTTTTAAACATTTCCTTTGCTATGATACAAAGGATAATTACAAACAAAATATTACATAGGATTTCTCTCCTTTTCCGACAACTTGGTAACAGCTTTAAATGCACAATCTATACAATTAATACAGGTTATATAATATATTGTGAAACCAGAGGAATACCAGAATACTGACATTACACTGTACAAGAGACCTCACTGTACAAGACCCCAACAGGCAGTGGTGTGGATACACAGCACTGCAGATAAAATGCACACCCGCAGGAACTCCAAGCAGCAGAATATGGTGGAAAAGGGTCTGGGAACTTCACTGACCTGTTTAGCTCTAGAAAGCTTTGCTTAAGACCTAATCTTTCTGAAAAGAAAAAGAAAACCCAGATGTATCCAACATGGGGTGAACTTGCTAACTGAATATAAATCTATTCCAATCTTGCTGGTAAAAGGACAACAGTGTGAAAACAATATTTAAAAGCAGCTGTTAAAATGTGGGCATGATGTAACAAGTTACAGCTCTGGTTGCTAAAAGCCCTCCATTAGGAGGACAGCCAGATGTTCTTGCAAGTGCTTGATCATGCATATGATCAGTCCATGTCAAGTAAAGCCTGACCTAAAACATGGAACAGGTCCGGTAAATATAAAAATAGAACTGTATTTTATTTTTTCCTGAAGGGAAATTCCCACGGCAAGACTTACAATCATGGCCTTGATAAAGGTTTTTGTTATGCAGGGAGGCAATAAGGCACGGCATTGGGGTTATTGATTATCAAGTGAACAAGGGTGTCATGCAGAGTGTCCAACTTCAAACAGTGACACTACTAACATGTTAAGTCCTAACCATACTGACTTCAGTCATCTCATGAACTTCCACTGGAATACATTTGTCTCTCGCTCATTAGCTAGGAAATGTTACGATAGCATGTCTGACTTGGAAGCAAGCAATCCTCGCATTTCGGCTTTACTGGATGAATTTTCTTTTTTTTAGATATGTGCCTTGTGGACACTGTAGCAGTAGCTTTTAAGTTTAAATATAACTGTGGCACAGGCAGACATATTGTGGGAGGAAAAAAAAGTACAAGTATAAAGCACCCTGGAATTTTCCCATTTCTGTATCTATTTCAAAGCAACAACTGAAATTTAATTTGGCTGTGGTCTAACACCTGAGGTAACAGCGGGTCCACTTTTGAAGTGTAATTGCAATGCCTGATTTCACCAGTAGATGAGGTTACAGGTGAAATTTCCAAATGAAACTCTGGGGACCTGCAGAGGAAAGATGCTTCCAAGTTACTACGTGGGTTGGGGCCCATGATTTGGCAGGAAATTAGAGTTTTCTTAGCACTCTTCTTTAATAAAGTCTGTCTCCTTTATCAATAGTTCCTGTAAAACGATAGGCTGTCTACTCATAAAATGAGAGCTCTGCAAATAAAAATGGCTGCTCTGATTTTTCATCCGAAATTGCATCTTAGAGATTACTCTAAAAATTTTCAAGATTGCATATGCAAGCTGTCAACATCCAGCTTAAAATGACCAACATTTCAAATGCTTGTTAATATTTGACAGAATCTGATGCGCTGAATTATGATTTTGGTAACAAATTACTCGGGCACCTATTGTTATCTTTCCCTGGTATCTGCGGGTGTGCATTCACATTCTCCCTAAATTATATGGCATTAATAACCAAAACATGTCTTCACTAAATAAAAGGGGGAAGATGCTTGCTTCTTTGCCCAGATGTTGCAGACAGTGGGAGTGTACAGAGTAAAGTGAATTGAAAAAAATAAAATAAAAAAAAGAATCAAAAACTTAAAAATATATATTCTTGTAACTTCTACAAATAAATGTGCAAATAAAAATTCAGAAACATGCCGGGAGCAGGAAATGCAACAAGAATATATAATTAACATGATAGACTGCGGTTGGTTTGCAGTTTGATGCTGACAGAGGTGACAGGTATGCATTGCAAAGAAAAATGGTTACATTTAAATTTCTCTTCATCTCCAGCCTTTAAAGTCCTTCAAAAGACATTGCTAGAGTTTAAGCTTGTGGTATTATCTAGCGTTTTAAGCAGCCGAAGGGACTCAAAACATTTTTATCTAAAAAGGGGCATTCCACCTTATACACTGGATTTCCCGATTTCCTTGAGGCTGGCCTTCTCCATCCCTTGGTAAGAAACTTTCTAAAGCTACAAAAGTCACCCATGGCCCAGCAATACTGATTTGTGTGAGAAAAGACCTTAGTGATCACTGGAAAAGTTTCTGTTGCTGAAGTCTTGGGTATTGAGGAAGAATAAAGGATGCTCAGATCAAGCTGCTTGCCTACCAACATGCAAGAAAAATGTCTCATGAACATCAACCTTCAGCATGGAAACATGCATCTTATAAGTCATGGAATCAGTGGCTTACTATTGCAACTTGGTGAGCAGGACATGAATAGATTAAAGACAAGTGATACCCACTCTAAGCAAAGACTAAGGGTCTGATAACGCTTGTCTGGCTTAATGCAAGAAAATGCATTTTTAGGTACAAAATCCCATTCACATGGTCAAGAAATTAGCTCTTGGGAAAAAAAGGGTACATGGCATGTTAATTTGTTTACCCATGGCACGTTATTTGTTTACCCATGGCACATAGTATGTTAATTTGTTTACCCATGCATAATAGCACAATTGAAATTAATGATCATGCACATCTGCACCATGCATAATCTCTGTTCTGCAAGGTTCACCTTACTTTTCATACTGCATGAATAAAATGCATCTAAAACGGAA